CCCCCAAAAAAATAGACAATGGGAGATTTTTCCCTGATTTATGCGTTACGGCAAGAAATGGAGGGAATTTTATTTGTGGACTTAGAGGCCTTACTATGGAAACCCATTTGGAACAGAAAGAAAGCTAGAATAAGATATAAATATGGAATTTAAGATTACATTTATGGGTTGCAACGGCTTTATAGAGATGTGGATTGATTTGGATTTGGATTTTTAAAAGGTGTTTTTAGGATAAGATTTAGAATTTAATATTGAAATATAGTAAGAATATATCTTTTGGAATAATAGATCTTCCTTCTTTTCTCTTTCTTTTTCTTGGTCTCTTTTTTGTTTCTTTCTATTATTTTTTCCCCTATTTTTCCTATGCTTTTTTTATTACTAGATATGATAGCTAATTTGTGGAGCTATAATGATAAAAAGATTGTAATGATGGAAGAGATGAAATTAATAAATGAAGAATTACTGAATAAGAAATAGAATATAGTTGAGAAATGTAAGAATGTAATTATGGAAATAATATGCTTAAATAAGAGAAATTATGGACACCCAAATTGTAAATAATATTTTTGTTTAAGGCTAAGTTAGATATGGTATTTGGAAATTAATAAACCTAAAAACAGGGTTTGATTTACATCGATGAAAGGTTGTTGATAATTTCTATTGATTAATTGAATTCTTATTTAGGAATGTATTAATGAATTAATCTTACCTAGAAATGTATTAGTTTGACTATACTATTCTAATTGTTAGGGAAATTTTAAGGAGCATTATTTGAGCTATATATGTATGATGTTATTGTACCTAACTGATTACCCTATCTCCACGTTGTTTCTTAAGCTTTCTGGTGTAAAAAGGGAAAAATCAATAAAATTGTTTGAAAAAAAAAAAAGAAAGAATACAAGACGCAGGCATTTGCGGATGATCTAGTGTTCTTCATAGAGGAGCCGCTAGAGACAGGAAACACCTTAATGAATGAAATAGAAAAATATGGGACAGTGGCAGGACTGAAAATTAATAGAGAAAAGACTAAAATGTTAGTTAAAAAATTAACTGAAAAACAAAAGAAAGAATTAGAAAAAAAAATTGGGATTGCAAATTGAAAAAAAGATTAAATATTTAGGAATTTGGCTTACTGTAAGGTGTTCCTCAATAAAAGATGATAATTACAAAAAATTGATACAACAAATGAAAAAAGATTTAGAGATTTGGGGAAAGTTACAGTTATCATTATTAGGAAGGATTTCAGTGATTAAAATGAACATATTGCCAAAATTATTATATTTATTCCAGACAGTTACTATAAAATTAGAGAAGAGATTTTTTGAAGAACTAAATAAAATAATTAAAAAATTTATCTGTCTGGGTAAGAAAGCTTGGATAAACATTAAAACGCTACAAGATAGTAGAAGCAGAGGTGGCTTTGGACTTCTAAAATGGGAAATTTATTATCAAGCAGCGGGGCTATTATGGATTAGGGACTGGATAAATTTAGACAACAAAAGGGTGTTAATGATTGAAGGACATGATCTACAGGCCGGTTGGCATGCCTTTCTATGGGATAAACGTAACAAGACATATGCATACTTTTACTGACATCAAATAAGAGAAGCGTTGATATGGACATGGGAAAAGGTCAAAAGGAAACATTATATGAAATTACCAAATTGGGTCTTGCCAATGGAGGCAACGATTTACCTGAATACACTGGATAAAAAAAAGATGATAAGATACAAAGAATTATTAGATAGTCAGGGGAATCTTAAATCAAAGGAAGAACTAAAAGAACAGGGAATAATTATAGACTGGTGGCCATATTTACAGACACAGTCAAGATATAGAAAAGACATGGAAGAATATGGAATTCAAGGGGTACCACAACAATTGGATAGAATATTGACAGGCAAGGAAGAAATTTTTTTAACAAAAGCGTATAAATATTTATTAGAGGTAGAAATGGAAGAAGAAATAGTGAAAGGTTCGATGATAGCATGGGCACGGAATTTAGGCCGAAATATAAATTTAGAAGAATGGGAAAAAGTATGGAACAAAAACTGCAAATTAACATTATCAACGGCATATAAAGAAAACCAGTACAAAATGCTTTATAGGTGGCATCTAACACCGGCAAAATTGGCCAAGATGTATACAAATATGAAATCGGACTGTTGGAAGTGTAAATATAAGGATGGAACATTTTATCGCATGTGGTGGCAATGTCCTAAAGCAAGGAAATACTGGGAACAGATAAGGAGATGGCTACAGGAGATAACAGGAGAACAAATTGAATTTAAAGCTGAATTATTTTTATTAGGAATAATTAATCAAAAGATAAAAAAGCAACTCCAATACGTGTTACAGCAGCACGTGTTACAGCAGCACATTGTCTATGTGCAATGCTGGAAACTTGAAAACATACCAGCTAATGACATGATTATCCATAAGATATTAGAATGTGCCGAGATGTATAAGCTTATTCTAGAAATGAAAGGCAAGAAAGAAACAGAATTTTATGAGGTATGGGATAAGTGGTATAATTGGTTATAACAGAGAAATAAAAATGTATAGAAATAAATGTAAATAACTGTAAGAGATACATGACACAGTACTGTTAAAAAAGAAAGAAAAATGTATATCGTTTTGTAAATTGGAAAAATGAAAAATATTTTTTTTTAAAAAAAGAATATGGTGGAGAATAGATAATTGCTAGAAATAGAAGTACTATTATAACTAGAAAGATAAGATTTGTAATTAGAATATTAGATTTTGATATGAGAAGGGAAACAGGAAAAGGCTAAGAAGTTTGAATAAGAGAAGCTTTTGGTTACCCAAATATAACTTACTTTGAAATTATAAATAATAGAGACATTTTGAATACTGATGGGAAATTAATTTTTTTTTTAAAAAAGCAAAAACTGGATACTGATTGAACATATGGATATTAAGTGCAAATGCAATTAAGATATGTTTTGGTTAGAAAAGTTATCTAAAACTGACATCGATATTATGAGAAAAATGTAACAAAGATGTTGATATTCAATTGTATATTTATTAATAACAGTGAGAATTGTGTTTGCCTAGTGTGGGAAAATAGCTACTACCGAAAGAAGAGAGGAAACATTTGATGGTGTAATATTGGATCTACATTGAAGAAGTTAATATATACTACTGAATTACTAATGGACCCAGACAACATGTTGTCTATTAAGTATTTGATTGTTAAACTAGAAAATTAATAAAATATTTATAAAAAGAAAAGAAAATCTAACAGCTGCTTTCTTATGCATAAGAAAAATGTTACAGAGATATTAACAGAGGAAAAAACATAGGGAAATTGTGATTATTAAATTTTTTATTATTAAAACAACAGAAAAGAAATTTGTTAAAGTTGCTACTTACCTCTCACTTATTAGGCTGTTGTTTTTTTTTAAAAAAAATCTTGGTATTCATTGTATGCTTTCATTTAGAGATAAAAGTGGAAGGAAGAATTATAGATCATCAATGACAAGGATTGGGCTTGCATGTGCATGCTGTATGCTGTGTATATGGATAGGGGAAAGGAATATCAGAGACTGTCTTAGTGGGAATACTTTTCTCATTCCCATTGTCACTTCTGATATTCCATGTAACATTATTATTAGGTTAATATAATATTTAAGCTTAGGAATGAGAATTCCCATGAGACAACTAATGGAGACAAGGGCAAATAGCAATAGCATTTAGATTTATATACTGTTTCACAGTGCTTTATAGCCCTCTCTAAGTGGCTTACAGGGTCAGCATACTGCCCCCAACAATTTGGGTCCTTATTTTATTGACCTCGGAAGGATGGAAGGCTGAGCCAACCTTGAGCTGGTGAGACTCAAACTGCCGAACTGCTAGCAGTCAGCAAAATTAGTCTGCAATATTGCATTCTAACCACTGCGCCACCACGGCTCAGTGGCAAACTAATGGGGGCAAGGGCACAGGTAAATTTGGCTGAGTGCAGGAGTGACAGCCAAATTAAATGTGAAATTAAACATTTCATTAGCTGCATATATTGATCTAGACTAGGCTATGGGGAAGGGAGTTTTAACTCCTTGCTCTTAATTTAGATCACGGGTGTCAAACTTGCCACATGTCGCGATATATCACGATATATCACGACTTCTTTTGCATTGCCGGTAATGGGGTGGGCAAGGCTTTGGTATGATGAAACTGGCCCATGGGCCGGCAGTTTGACACCCCTGATTTAGATAGGCCCTAAAAGTTTTTGTTTGCCTTGATAATAACTGTAATTAGCACCAAGAGCAAATTTGTAAACTCAGTTACAAATGGCATTTTTTATGTATACAGAAACTGTAGCAGTATCAAAGGAAAAGGAAAAGTTGTTTGAGGACTTTTTCCTGGCTGCACTGACTTTCTTTTTTCAGTTGTGATCCCATGATGTTGTTTAACCTGTTCTTAGCTATATTATGTTACAGTGGTGTTTTCCCCTTATTCCCACAATGTCCAAAGGCAATGTTGTGTAAAATCTGTTAAGGTCTCGCATGTATTATCTTGGAGGAAAATCAGAGGATTGAAACAGACATAGGAGAAGAATTGGCAACAAGGACATGACAGAATAGCTTTCTATTGACTTAAGGGTGGGCAAAAAGCAATTAATATTGAAAGAATTGATTGCCCCCATGTGCCACAATATTGCTCTGGATCACCACTTTCTTCTGCAGATTTGCCTGCCTGCCTGCCTCCCTCCCCCTCCCTCTCTCTTGCTTCCCCAAGATATAACTGCATGATTAATATTTTACTTTTTATTTTTGTCTGTAGCAGTAACTAGTTTACCAGAGAATTCAGAAGAAACCATTTAGAAGTATAAAGCTTACTCATAAGCATTTAGTGTGTAAGTGGGTATGTATGCATGTATGTGTGTGTACACACACCTTCATACATTCAGATATGCAGGAATTTACACATTAAAACATATTAAAAGATACTTGACGTTTTTGCTTGTATATCATACTTACTTGGCAGCAGCATCTTTCCTCAACTGATCATGCTTCATTAGAAGGTTTTTCCTATCTTGAAAAGCTTTTCTAACTCTGTATCCTTTGTAGACTGCCTGAATTTTGACAGCTGCAATATCTTGAATGGCAGCTATAGATAATGCACCATGTTCCAACATGAACTGAATTACTTCATGATGACCTCCCAGCAGGGCAAAATCAAGTGGTGTATATCTAAAAATAACAGAATATTGTTATAGAACTGACCAAATAGCAAAAAAATACAATAAACAATATTTAATGAATTCAGTATCCACCATCTTACATTCATTCTAGAAACAGGATGACAAAAAGAAGTTACTGCAGTAAATGCAGTTATTTACTGCATTTAATTCATTAAATGCAGAAATATGCATTAAATATAAAGAGCCCTGATGGTATAGTAGTTAGAATGAAGCATTGCAGGTTAACTCTGCCCTCAGCCTAGAGTTCTATCCTGATGGGCTAGAGTTTAACTCAGCCTTCCATTTTTAGAAGTTAATAAAATGAGGACCTAGATTGTTGGGGGCAATATGCTGATATTGTAAACTGTCCAGGGTGCTATAAAGCACTATGGAGTGGTATATAAGTCCAAGTGCTATTGCTGTTAATTCATTATGGTTAATGTTAGTTAACAGTAAATTTGAGTTAAGTGTAAGTTAATTAGAGTGGTTCTATATCTTGTCAGTTAAAGAATGTCATTTTGTAGGACTCAGAAAGCATTTTTACTATGCTGCAATTCCTACCCTCTGGAATTATATCCCTCCAGAGATTATATGCTCCAGATCTGGTTTTCCCAAGATTCAAGGACAGCATGATTATGGGCCCACATTTTGTCCACATATTTTTGAACTTATATTGCTGAAAAGAATGTTCTCTCAGTCTGTAAGGACCTGCCTCAACTAGATCACTTAAGGAAGCAGAACTCTTGAAACAGGGAGTGTTTCAAAAGGAACTTTTATTGAGAGTTAGTGATAGCAGGAAGGCAAAGCAAGGTCTGAAAATTTCGTGCGTGAAAGGTTACATAAAAAAGTCCATTCAGATTTCTTCCCTGCAGTGTCCAACTGTCCATTTGAAATCCAGCCAATCCATAGATACTAGGTTGTTTTGAGAACCTAGTGTTTTAGCACCTTTTCCAAGGTCTCTCTCAGTTTCGTTTCCCAATAGTTCCAGGCTCCATTGTCTGGAGATAAGACAGATGTTTTCAAGCCACATTCCTTTCACACAGAGGGAGGGTAAAGCAGAGCAAGGCAAATACATTCCCCCAACCAACCAACCCCCCCCTCAACAGAATGGTAGGTCCCGAAAAAGAATACATAGGCATAAGCAATAAATTGTAGGCAAAACTATTTGAAGGGTCCTGACATATGCCCCTCCCCTTAAAAAATGACAGATCCACCTGTAAAAGAAAGAAAAGGAATGGGGGAGAGAGAAAACAAAACATATCAGTCAGGTTTATCGGGATATCGTTCATGAAAGCATTTGAGTAACTTAGGAGCTTTAACATACTTCTTATAGGCCCATTCATTCTGCAAAGCAGGAAGATCTTTCCAGGCAGCTAAATACTGAGTGGACCCATGGTGTTTACGAGAGTCTAGAATGTCCTTGATTTCAAAGTGTTGCTTGCCCTCAACCATAATGGGTTGCAGGGTAGGAGCAGGGGCAGGTCTAAATGCAGAGGTAATTTCAGGTTTTAGTAAACTGCAATGAAAAACCGGGTGGATTTGTCATAGATTCTTAGGGAGTTCTAATTCCACTGTGACAGGATTTATGATTCGTTTAATGGGAAAGGGTCCAATATACTTCGGCCCTAACTTTTTTTTTTTTAATAAAATTTTTATTGATTTTTATAATTAAACAACAAAGATTATGATGCATTTACGTACATAAACAAAAAAGAAAAAATAATCCAAATCAATACATCTTCAGAGATGCTCGGCAGTCCCCGCCATGCCTCCACCCTCATCCACTTTCCTTTCCTTCCTCCCTCTGACCCCCAACCTCTCCACCTTCCTCCTTACCACCTACCTACATCCCCTCTCCTTTCTTACCACTTCCTCGAGTGCAATTTGGGATACCAGCTGAGCATCTCCTCTTATCAATACAATAAGTATTTATCTATAAAATGTAAATACATCAATTTTTATAATTCCCCTGATCCCCTACCCCCCCTGAACTTCCCAGAACCCAATACAGGACTAACACTCATCCCATTCCATATCTAAATTACAATTTAACTAAACAAAGATAATACAATCAGTATATACATACTTTAACTCTAATAATGCAATAAGTAACAACAATACAACTGATCAAAAACTATATGATATTTGTATAATTTATCCACTTTCAACATTTAAACTCAAAACAATTTTTAAAAAACCTAAATATCTATCAAACATTTTATATAAATTTTTTCTTACATTTTACTCTTAAATTTTTCCTACACTTTCTTCACTCTCAAATCAGTACTTTCAGCAAAGATCTTAAGTCAATACTCTTCATAGCTGGAAAAATAATTTACTTTATCAAATATTTTAAGACTTT